TGCAGTTAGCAGTCAGCTGAAGTAGCCTGCAGTGCTGCACTCTAACCACTGTGCCACCTCGGCGTCCTTGACTTACAACCATTTGTTTAGCGACTGTTCAGAGTTATGACAGAACTAAAAAAAAAGGTGACTTACAACCGGTCCTTGCACTTGTAATCGTAATAGCATTCCCATGATCAAAATCGTGGCACTTAGCAACCAGCATATATTTACAACATCTAGAGGATTGTGTAATCACCATTTATGGCCTTCCCCGTTGGCTTTTAATCTTTAAAGTCAATCTGGGAATCTGGATTCGCTTAACGATCACATAATTCTTTGAACTGCAGGGTTTTGCTTAAGAACTGTGGCAAAAAAAAAGAAGATCATAAAACTGAGCATGATTCACTTAAGAAGTGTCTTGCTTAGCAATGGAAATTCTGGTCTTAGTTGTTGTAAATCAAGGACTACTTGCACGTAAATTGCAAATCCTTTCTATGCTTCGGTTATTAAGGCAAAGGATCCTGTGCAAGACATCTTAGAAATGTATTAAAGGGGCTCAAAACTCAGGGAAATTTGCCCAGATGGTATTTCATAAAGCCACTAGAAGATGATATAAGTCTATTACTACCTTTTCTGAGGAGCAAAACTTTCTTCAATTGGCTGCATCACCTTCAGACCACAAACCTATCTGGTATAGCCTGATTAAATCGGACATATTTGCTGAAGCGTTTCATAGTGGCTGAAGGGCTATGGAGAAAGCCTGCAAGCCCAACTGAGTATCTGAAGATTATAACCTGGAGCTGCCAAGTCCTATCATTCATGAGTTGGTTTAATTCTTTCACAGTTAATGGTCACCAGCAGACCATGAAGACATAACTCCCATGGTTGGACTAATGTTCTCCATAAAACAGCATCAGCCAAAGGGTTATAAAGCAGCAATGCTACAAATGCAGAGCATAGAAGAGATCTCAAAAAAAACCATTACCAGTGCTCTAAAAATGTTGGATTCAGACTGAAGCCAGAATTACACAAAACAATAATGTCACGGATAATAGCCAAGCATCACGACTCTGCTTACCTGCTTATCTTTTTAGAAACCATTTTTCAGGGGTTCCACTGAAAGAACCTTAGAACTATGACCAGATTTTGTTATGGAGTCTTAATTTTTCTTTCCAAAATGCATCAGGAAAAGTATCGAACATACTAGCAAGGAAGTTCCCAGACCAGGAAAAGAACAATAAAACTTCTGTCTCGGTTCATGTATCATGATAAATTATGGGTAGTTTGCTGATTTTGGCTTAGTGTGCCGAATGCTTAGCTTATTGTAGACCATGGTTTACATTTTATGCAGTGTATAGGCTTGTTAAGTGACTCACAATGTAACAGTATACATAAAACCAAGCATCATGCTTATTATAAAAATATTCACTCAGGGAGAGGGGGAAAAATATTCCAGGTTTGAATATACTTCTCACAGTTGGGCTGATTAAAAACAGCACACAATTCAGCCTGTTTGCATATGAAGTTGGACACAGTTTTTGAGCATGGTTTTGAATACGGAAGCAGCCGGTAAGGATTCTTTTGCATTTGCTCATCCAAAACAGACTTAAGATATACATCAGACCACCAATCACTTGAAAGGAATATCAAAAAGTACAGGTAATCCTCAATTTACAACAGTTCATTTAGTGACCATTCAAAAGTTACAACGGCACTGAAAAAAGTGACTATGACTTACGAATATTGCAGCATCTCCACTGTCATGTCATCAAAATTAAAATGCTTGGCAACTGACTCATATTGACAACGGTGGCAGTGTCCCAGGCTTCACCTTTGACGACCTTCTGACAAGCAAAGTCAATAGGGAAACCAGATTCATTTAACAACCGTGTTACTAACTTAACAACAGCAGTGACTCACTTAACAACTGTGGCAATAAAGGTCCTAAAATGGGGCGAAACTCACTTAACAAGTGACTCACTTAGCAACAGAAATTTTGGGCTCAATTATCATCGTTAAGTCAAGGACTGCCTGTATAGCTCCACACTCCTTTCTCCAAAATAGGAGCATTTTCAAGAACCAAAAGTTAGTGAAGAAACCTTTGCTGTATGATCCCTGAGGAAGACATAAGATTTATATATTTTGTTTGTTTTTTTTTAATCAGAAAAAAAGCATAGAGAAAACCCAAGAATGAGGGGGGGAAAAGCAAATCCGAGGCTGGATATTATTAATTTCTGAACAATGATTTTCCCTAATCCTTCCTTGCACGCTTTTATTTTAAGAGCTAAATTTAGGTTTCATTTATCTGACCCTTGTCTTGGTATCAGCTCTTCATCCTGTCCCACATGGAACAGGCAGCCCTCATGACCGTAATAGCACATTGTGATCAGAAGTCGTGACTGCCACTAAGTGAAGTGTCCGCGTGTCATTACCTCATTTATAAGCCCAGTCCCTGCTCTCCCTGATATGGTTGTTAAATGAACACATGGGTCATTAAGTGGAGCATCGGGTGCCTCAAAGGGAGGCCTCTGGGAGGCGTGGCATCAGCCCTTCCCCAGGCCTAGAAGTGGGTTTCAGCGGGTTCTGACCAGTTCTGGAGAACCGGTAGCGGAAATTTTGAGTAGTTCGGAGAACCGGTAGTAAAAATTCTGACTGGCCCCACCCCCATCTATTCTCTGCCTCCTGGGTCCCAGCTGATCGGGAAGAAATGGGGATTTTGCAGTAATCTTCCCCTGGAGTGGTGTGGGAATGGAGATTTTACAGTATCCTTCCCATGCCACGCCCACCAAGCCATGCCATGCCCACCAAGCCACACCCACAGAACCAAGCCACACCCACAGAACCAGTAATAAAAAATTTTGAAACCCACCACTGCCCAGGCCTTACCCACGCCGAGGCAACTGACGCTCTGCTTCCCACCCCTCAAGGGTTCCTGCAGGCCTTGAAAATGTTTCCCACCTCTCTGGGCCTCATCCTACATTAGCCAGCACACACTTACCTTTCTCAGGCACTGGCATTAGGGAAGAGCTCTTTGTTCCTGGACCATATGGTGTGATCTCAGAAGCGACTGCTGTTTTGAGGGCAGCCACACTGAACTGTGGGTGTTTGGAAAATGGTGGTCACTTCTGAGACCATGCCATGCACCCCAGGGAACAAGCTCACCTTCTCTTAAACACGAGTGAAGTGTTAACACCACTTTAGTAGGGCTTTCCCTCCCCCCCAGCGGTGTTCTTTTTTATACAAAGTCAGCTTATTGCCCCCACAATCTGGGTCCTCATTTTACCTACCTCGGAAGGATGGAAGGCTGACCCAACCTTGAGCCTGGTGAGATTTGAACTTGCAGTAATTGCAGGCAGCTGGCAGCTAAGTGCTACTTAACAGCACTTTAGTCTGCTGTGCCACCAAGGCTCTAGTTTATTTCTAGTTTAATGACTAGGGGAGACATGATAGCACTGTGCCAATATCTCAGGGGCTGCTACAAAGAAAAGGGAGTCAAGCTATTCTCCAAAGCACCTGAGGACAGGACAAGAAGCAATGGGTGGAAACTAATCAAGGAGAGAAGCAACTTAGAACTGAGGAGAAATTTCCTGACAGTTAGAACAATTAATCAGTGGAACAACTTGCCTCCAGAAGTTGTGAATGCTCCAACACTGGAAGTTTTTAAGATGTTGGATAATCCTTTGTCTGAAGTGGTGCAGGGTTTCCTGCCTGGGGGGTTGGACTAGAAGACCTCCAAGGTCCCTTCCAACTCTGTTATTCTGTTCTATGAGTTCTGGACTGCTGCAAACTCCTGTGGACCTTTCTAGAGCATGCAAAGGTGAATGACCATAAGGGTGCTGCAGCAGCCACCACTTTGTGACTGTGTCATAAGTAACACGTGTTTGGATGTCCTCCCGGTCACTAAATGACTGGTCGTAAGTTAAAAGACCTGTAGTTCCTTCTGCCCACTACAGAGTCAGCAAGATGCACTTTACAATTGGTGCGATGCAAACAAATACCAGTGTATTAACTTGCGGGTCACTTTCTACATTCAAGATCTCAGCCTAGGATAAGCTACAAGTTCTTCAGTTGCATTTGGGAGATCCTGGCCAAAATTTACAAAACTTGTGTTGCCTTCTATTAGGAGGAAATGGCACCCATAGCACAATTGTGACTGATGCTGGTGCCCTTGCCTACAATTTCTCTGGGTTGCAAGGAAGTATTTGTGAAAAACCCTTGCAAATGGGCCATAGAGGGACATCATCCTTTCTGGTCTTTTGTGTAATGTTGCTTACCACGAAAGGGAATAGCCTGAAGGTTATGTATGTATGGCTTAATTATCCAAGAAGTGAGCCCCTAGAACAGGGCTGGGCAATTAATTTTCCCAAGGGGCCACATGAGAAATTAGACTGTTATGGAAGGCCAAATCAATAGGGCTGTGGGTATGCAAGCACGCCAGCGGTGCTATTCAGCAGGTTATGACAGGTTCTGGAGAACCGGTAGCGGAAATTTTGAGTAGTTCGGAGAACTGGCAAATGCCACCTCTGGCTGGCCCCAGAGTGGGGAGGGAATGGAGATTTTGCAGTATCCTTCCCCTGCCATGCCCACCAAGCCACAGAACTGGTAGTAAAAAAATTTGAATTCCACCACTGATGCACACACATACATAAAATTGAAAATAATTTGATGTCATCTTCAAAACACAATAAAAGGCAATGCAACTGTATTGTGTGCAGAGCATATACTATTTCAGGGATGTCAAACTTGCAGCCCGGTTGTGTCATGCGCTGGCTATGCCCACGCCAGGTTTAGTGAAGGGGGAGAAAAGTCCTGATATGACACATGACCGTGATGCCGCGAGTTTGACACCTCTGCACTATTTCATTTTTAATTTCCAATTGAAATTAGAAGGGGCCAGATAGGGACAGCTGAAGGGCCAAATGTGGCCCAGGGGCTGTAAAATGCCAGGGTCTGCCCTAGAAGCACACTCGGTGGTGGAATTTAGAATAGCAAAGCAGAAAAAGGCAAACTGAACATAATAAGTTGGATTTTATTTTATTTTTTAAATTTTCATTCACCAGGGAAATGCTTAGATACGATGCCGATTAAATTATTATAAATCTCCATTCACTTTAACAGCATGATTGCTTTAAAATTATACATTACCTTTTTTGGGCGGGGGGAATGACTCACACGGACGCATACACATCCCGAGATATGCTCTAAATTAATGATAGTCACAATGGGGAGTAGGTTTCAATACCCACCAATCCAAAGCCCCAGGGCCCCGCACTGTTTACTTGTGAGATCCAGTAAGGTAACCCTCCCTGTGAAGGGAATGTTATTTGGTGTATATAGATGTATTTATACCTGAAATTAATGTGAAACCTTGCTTTGGAAAACAATGGGCAGACTGTGGGAAAACTCAGTGCACTGGGAAACATATGGACCATAAATACCTCACGGATGCCCGATGATATAGTTCATTCAAGTTCCATCATTAAGAGCTTAGTGTACTAATTATAGGTAACGCTGTGTGAATATAGTGGTTAGCAAGAGAGTGAGAAGAAACATTTGGCAATAACCTTACTAATTCAGACTGAAGACTCATTGAGTCTGACAGAGCTTAGTATCTGCTGAGAATGTTGGATTGTCTTCCCATCTTTTCAGACCAGCCTAGTTAGTTGGAAAAATAATATAATCCAAGATTCTATTATGACCCATCTAGAAACTGCGAGATTTTCATTAGTTACGGGATGGAACATAATCAACTCTTTGTTCTTCAACATCTGGTATTTAATTATATTAGCACTGGACCTGAATTTCCCTCCATTTCTCACAATTAGCAGGCCTTGTCTGATCTATCAGGAATGGGAGCATGTCACCTTCCAGACCAGAGTTTCTTAATTTTAGCAACTTTATGAAGTCTGGACTTCAACTCCCAGAATTCCCCACCCACCCATGTTGGCTGGGGAATTCTGGGAGTTGAAGTCCAGGCTTCATAAAGTTGACAAAGTGGAGAAATGCTACTCTAGACAGAGCAGCAGGGACTGCTACAAACTGGAGACCAACCAAATTTGGAGGGAGAAAAGTTCCCTATTGCTGATGCATAACCCTTTTAAAAAAGTGAACTAGGCCAGGGGTCTCCAATCTTGGCAACTTTAAGCCTGGTGGATTTCAACCCAGAATTCCCAGCCAGCAAAGCTGAAAGTTTGCCAAGGTTGGAGACCCCTGAACTAGGCTACAATCCCCCCTTGTGAAACTGATCTTCAGGAGGCAAGATATGGAACCTTTCATAGTTTACTGACTTAGATAAACCCCATTATTCTTTCAAATGAGCTTCTGGGGATACAAAGGTTCATTGCCTTGGTTATCCAAGAATGCAAAAACACAAAAGGAAATGGTGCTTTGGGCACTCAAGACACTCTCTCTATGCCATTGCACAAATACTTTGGGGTAGAGCTGTGCCAAGTGCTGCAATGACCAACGTAATGAATGTTAGACTTGCGGGCAACTCTGCAGTGATATTTCAGAGATGCTGCTGCAGACGAAACAGCAGAAACCTTTGAGGTCAGGTTGTACCAGGCCAACTTAAAAACAAGCAAACAAACAAAGAAAACAAAACTCACATAGAACGCAAAACCAAAATTCTTACAAATAACGTGAAAACATTCTAAATGCCCGTGTTAACCAAGACATTGCTCTCTTGAATATAAAAAAGAAAAATGCAAACAAAAACAACTGGAATGCTTTGTGGGGTTTTTTTTGTTTTTTGTTCTTTTCCCCCTCTATCTGTAGAACTAAGGAAACACTTATCCCTTTCCTTCTCAGTATCATCAGTAATAACTTAAAAGCCTTAATTAACCTGTAGAATCAACTGCTACAATAGGTCACAGATCCTATCGGATTCTATTAAATGACAAATATTTTCGTAAAGGATATCTACGGAAAGGATAAAAGATAGCCACAAAAATTATTTCGCTACAGCAAAAAACATTCTTCTATGGACAGCTAATTTCAAACCTTCTCCACTGTGTTACTTATTTTTCATTTTCTGGCTACTTCTGTTAGATCTAGATATACAGCCCCAGCTGATTTCTATCAACATTATTGGCCTTCTTTTCACTAATTAATCAACACAACTCTCTGGTTAGTAGATCACTACATATTCCCGATGGAACTTTTCTTTCTCTCCATTTCCCCCCCTTTTTTTAAAATACTGACAAGAACCGGAGGCACAGAGGGAACAATTCTGCCTGCAAAGTGCCAAGATTCCAACAATATTTTCTCCAATCTGAGTAGCAGGGACTGGTAGATGGATCAGAACTGGTGAGAGAACATGTATCTGAACATAAACTGGATTTAATAAATGAAAACATACAAAGAAATTAAGGGATAAGGTGACAGCAGCTCTTCTGGACATTCCAACTTTGTCCTGAAGGCTGCGATACTTCAAATAATACTTCAAATAAAATAAAATTTTATCAGAAAACAAGACTCAGGGTCCACTAAGAATTTTGGTAAGATTCTTCATGGTGGAATAAATTCTATCTATATGTGACCTGCTCACCACAAAAAATTACAAATATCCTCCATTTCATTACATATTGCATTCATATGTTTTGTGGTCCGGTAATACAGGTGTGTTGAGTTACTTTCAGATCCCACCTTGCTTAGTTTGGTTTTTAACCAGTCTGTGTGTACATGTGACACACACCCACACAGACATATATGTACACACCTCCTCAGTCTCCTGGGTGAGCAACTGAGGGAGTCTCTGGCCTGGAGAAGTCCAAGCACAATAGCCACACAATAGTCTCTTAAAGTGCCAACGCACAATTTGTCTTCCTGTCATTAGAGAATTATGACCATCTTCAGCTGCTGGATGTCCATTCCTAATTGCCAAATGCTGAGAAAGAGCAGCAAAGAACAACAGATCCAAGATTTGACAAACATAATTTTTAGAGAGGCCTCAAGGGAATTCAACCCACTCAGCTAATCACAACAAGAGATCTGGAAAAAAAAATCTCAGTCCATCAAAATATAGGTTTCACTAACTTGGGCCTTCTAATTTAGTAGATGGTTGTAGAGGGTGTTCAATGGCCAGGAAATATTCTCCCTTAAAGCCAAAGATTTATTCAGGCAATTTTACACCTTGCCTAAATTACTCCACAGAGTCTTTGCATAGAGATTGGGAGCCTTCCCATCTCTTTTTTCACTTGTGGCCTGGTCCGTGCAATCCAGCTTCTCTCAGTCCAGTCTACCCAGATGTATGTGATTACAACTCCCATCCTCCGCAGGTTGAAGCGGAGGAGGATGGGAGTCACTATCCAGCATACCTGGAGTTCCCCAGGCTGGGGGGGAAGGCTTGTTTAGGTGAGCCAGAAACAAAGGGAATCAAAACAATGGAATCACTAGGAGGTTCGCTCATAATTAAATACAATGAGGAGATTATCAATAAATAATTTGATAGCTTTCCATACAAAAACAGAAGTGATATATACAGGATTTCAAAGTATCTCCAATATTCCTGTGAAGGACCTATTTGAGAAACAACCAAATATCAATATTCTGAAAACCCACCTGAAATTAGGAATATTCCAAGGCTTTTACCAAAATTCAGCACATGCTGAGCATTCATTCTAATTTACCCAGTGGTTTTCTCCAAATCAATTTGCTCTAGATGTATTGAACTGTAGTCTCATAAATTCCCAGAAAAGCACCACCACTAAAACTGCAATTCAACCACCCCTAGAGAGCAATGTTCCTCAACCTTGGCTTGCTAGAAGATGTGTGAAATTCAACTCCCAGAATTCCCCAGCCAGCAAGCTACCTGGAGAATTCTGGGAACTGAAGTCCACAAATCTTCCATCAGCCCAGATTGAAAAACACAGCCATAGAATATTCCAGGCAGGAAAAGGCTGCTCTGTACCACTTAGATTCTTATAACATCTTTAGACATTGCTAAATTATATTCAACTGAAAGCAAACTTTCTGGGGCAGAAATCAGTCAAAAGAAACAAAAATAAAGGAATTTCCCCAAGATACAGTTATCTCTATCCTCCCTTCCAATGGGAGCAACCTGTTAAAACAACGGGATTGGGTAGGCAAAGAGGGGGTTCTCTCGGTTGTGGATCTTCTCATGTCTCTTGTGGTGGGAGCTGTGGCTGAAACATTTGCCACAGAACCGGCAAGCATAAGGTTTCTCCCCGGTGTGGATCCGATGGTGCTGGACCAGGGTCGATTTGTCAGTGAAGCAATTCCCACACTCGGAACACACGTACGGCTTTTCGCCGGTGTGGATTCTCTGGTGTCGAAAGAGGTTAGAACTGACGTTGAAGCTCTTCTCGCAGATGTTACACTTGTAGGGTTTCTCCCCCGTGTGGATGCGCATGTGCTTGATCAGGTCAGCGTTGTGGCCGAAACTCCGCAGGCACTCCGTACACGTGTTCATCACTTCTGCTTTCTGTTTCCCTTTGGGCTTCTCATCAACGGCACTGGCATTGGCCCTGTCCACCGGGGCGCAGACTTCTTGCAGCTCTTCCATCGGGTCCTTCAAATGCTTCTTCTTGTGAGAGCTGCGGCTGTAACTTTTTCCACAGTCAATGCACTCGTAGGGCTTCTCGCCCGTGTGGATCCGTTGGTGCTGAGTAAGGTTGGACTTATCGTTGAATCGCTTGCCACAGTCGAGACAGATGTATGGCTTTTCCCCGGTGTGAATTCTCTGATGTCGGTTGAGGCTGGAACGGACAGAAAAACTTTTCCCGCATTCGGAACACTTGTGCGGCTTATCGTCGCTCTGGACAGGCCACGGGCTGATCAGGCTGGAGTTCTGGATGAAGACCTTCCCACATTCAATGCAGATATCCGGGATCTCTTCTGTCTGGGTACCCCGATGCACCAAAAAGGCTTTGCGTTTCTTGATGGTATGCACTGGTTTCACAGGCCATGTCATCGATGGTATCTTCTTCTCCCTTGTTTCAGACCCGCGGGCTTGGCTGTGTCCAGGGCTTAAGCTTAGCATCTTAAGCAATTTTCTTTTGGTCACCAGCTGAGAGCGAGCCTCTTCAGGGCTAAAGTTCTCCTCCATATGGCTCATCCTGTGACCTCCTCTCACCTGGTGGGGAGTCAACATTGTACAGTTGTACAGTTAAGGCTGGAGAATTTACAAAACAGGAAAAACATCTGTACTTTAAGCCTGCCCCACCACCCAAATGTAAGCCCACAGCATTCAGAGTTCAAAGTTGTTGTTCTCATATCTGGAAAAGCTGCATTCCTGGAAAATTTCCCGTGTGAACAATTATCTTCTGACTTTTTAATCATTTTTCCACCAATTCACCTATTTTTCTGTTAAAAGATCTAATTTATACTTGCAACACAAACAACTTCTTAGAAAAGTATACACTGAACAACTAATGGAGTAAAATTTGCAGGACTTCTACCAATTCTATGCAGGAAAATCTATGCTACAAGGTTTAAAGAACAACCATGCTCTATCAATTAAAAACTTTCCTCCGGAGTTCTTGGTGCTCTCTGTTCTTGGTTATTTGCTTACAGACATTTCATTACCCAATTTAGTAACATCACAAGGCACAATGAAGTTACTTACCATAGTTGTATAACGAAATGTCTGCAAACAAACTAAGTTCAGAGAGTACCAAGAGCACAGAGTTCAATCCAGAGCTACAGATATTTTTTCTCTTATTGGATTTTACCCGTTTTTTAATGGGCATTTAAGTATTGTATCACTAGGAAAACTGTTTGGGAGGCCACAGTATTTAGAAATTCAGAATGCATGTGCTAATTTATATAATCCCCCTCCCTAATATAGTAATTTTACTATATTAACTTACTTAAATGTTATTAATAGCACGATATGTGTGTGTTAGACACGCTTACAAGTTTGGTTCAGTGTGATAGTTGGAAAGTTTGGGGTTTTGTTCCACTTTTTTACACATAAAATAATATTCAGAATTTAAAATTCTGCATTCCCTAGAAAGGGACTAAATGGGTGCTGCAAACACGGAAAGGTGAACCAGCTTCTGATGTCTGCAAGCAGCAATTTACTATACTTATAAAGCCAGACATATTTGCTTAAGTTTAGATTGGGCAGTCCTTAATGTCCTTTAACAGTAAAAAAAAAAACCTAATAAAATGAGACACTTTCCCCCCTACCTCCCCTCCCGGATCTTCTGCTAGGAGCCATCATTTATAAACTCTACTTCATTTCTTCCTCAAGCAAAGCACATCCTAGAAGGACCTTATTCCAAAACATTTCCTTTACTCACTACACAGACAAGGGTCATTTTGATTAAGGAACATCCAAAATACAAAGGCTTCCACTCACACCTGCTGTCACTATGAAAACAGGATGAATAAGCCTATATAGTCATCTATAAGCGACAGTTTGCATTTCGCCCGGAGTGGGAGAAAGGAAAAGAAAACAGTTCAGAAAGGAAAGGTATTCTGCGTATGCTCAGAGACATTATGCTTCCTCGCCCTTCCTTCCCACCCTAGATGATGGTAGCAAGTGCAAAGGCTTGCAACTCGACCCGCCGCTCTCCACCCGATTCCACTCCCGGGGGCTTGGCGGGGACACTCTACCTTGTGCTCCCGGACGCCCGAGCTCATAAAGGCGGCAGCGGCGGGCGCCGCGTCCCGCGGAGGTACACAGACGGGTTGGCGGGGTGCGGGAAAGCCGCGGAGCCGCTTTGTGCCGCGAAGTCGGAGGGTGCAAAAGGTCCACGCGCCCGCCTACATCGCCGCCGCGCGCCGCCCGGGCTTCGGGGAAGGGCGCGAGACCAGCCCCGCGCCTGCAACTCGCCCGCCTGGCTTACAATGGAAGAGCAGGAGGAGGCGGCTGCTTGCAGCAAGAGCTACCTCTGACCCAGGAAACTAACACAACGCTGCCAAGCGGCCCAGTTCAAACAAAGCCAAGAAGCCTCTTGATTGCAAACGCCAGAGCCCCCTGCTGGACGACGGGGGATCTCACAGCGGCCTGCTGGGAACTCCCTGCCTCAATGGCAGAGCGAGGGCTTGAGGGTCTCTGAGCTTGTGCAGAGTGCCTTTGGAAGCGGAGGTGGATGGGTGGGGGTTCTCCTATCAAAGGCCTTCCAGCTGCGAGAGTATTTGAGCGGATTTAGGGAGGTCTTGAAAATTCCTCTTTGTGTTCACAGCAACCCACAAATTTATTTATTTATTTATTATTTATTTATTTATTATATTTCTATACCGCCTTTCTCCCGTAGGACTCAAGGCGGTGTACAGTCAAGAAAAATATAGACACACAAACATCATAAAATTGCTAATTAAAATTATTACTTAGTTTGGTCAATTAAATAAAACCCAGAATTAGATAACATTTAAAAAATCATTCACATGTTTGTATGTTTAGCCCCGCCTGTTGGAACATCAGGGTCTTGAGGGCACGGCGGAAAGCACGGAGATCAGGGATATTCCGTATCTCCGGGGGCAGTTCATTCCAAAGGGTTGGAGCCCCCACAGAGAAGGCCCTCCCCCCTGGGAGTCGCCAGTCGACATAATTTGACTGACGGTAGCCTGAGTAGTCCCTCCCTGTGAGAACGAACTGGTCGGTGGGAGGCTATTGGTGGCAAAAGACGGTCTTGTAGTATTAGCCATTTGTGTGTGAATACAGACTTTTTAGAATAGAATAGAATGCTTTATTGGCCAAGTGTGATTGGATACACAAGGAATTTGTCTTGGTGCATACGCTCTCAATGCACATAAAAGAAAAGATGGATTTCTTCAAGAATCATAAGGTACAACACTTACAACACTTAATGATAATCATAGGGAACAAATAAGCAATCAAATCACATTAGGAAACAGTCAGTATAAATCGTGAGGATACAAGCAACAAAGTTACAGTCATACAGTCATAAGTGGAAGGAGATGGGTGGTGGGAACAATGAGAAGATTAATAGTGGTGCAGACTTAATAAGTAATTTGACAGTGTTGAGGGAATTATTTGTTTAGCAGAGTGATGGCGGTCGGGAAAAAACTGTTCTTGTGTCTAGTTGTTCTGGTGTGCAGTGCTCTGTAGTGTCGTTTTGAGGGTAGGAGTTCAAATAGTTTATGTCCAGGATGGGAGGAGACTTTGGAGACAGGATATGATTCAGTTTCTGGGATTCTCCACAAATGGATTAATTGTGGGGATTAATACATAATGTTTAATTAATATGTGATTGCAGCATCATACATTCCTTCTATCTGAGTAAGGAAGCCATTTGTACATGGCCAATCACCTTTCACAGTGTAAACATTGTTTAGCTTCAATTGGTAGTATTTACATACTGTATGGGATGACTTGACTTCTCCCTCCCTGCATCCCTCTTTTTTTCCCGTGTTCTTGGTTTCTGATTGCCATTAATTGCAGTGTTATGCATTAATTTATTTGCATTTTTAATGGATTAAATTACGTTAGCTACTTTAAGTGCTTTTTCAGCACTAAAGTGGAATTGCAATGTATTTACCGAATGAGTGAGCGAATAATGACTGCCAATAAATTACAGGCTTTTTTAAAAAGCTATAAGATTGTGCCTCCCTATTTTCGTATTCCACAGTCATTTGTATTTTGATGCATAACTACTTTAAAGGGCCTTCTGGGAGAAATGGCCACTGTTTAAGTAGCCATCGGGGGGGAAAAAGCTTCCTTCTGTTGTTTCAGATCATGTTAGTTTCTGGATTTATTGGGTTGTTTTTTGCTATTCCTTTTATGCCTTGAGACCTAGATGTGAAGCAGGATATAAAACTATGTACAATTTGTAATAAAATATTGCATCATTCGGTGCATGTTTTTTTAAAATGGCCATGGGTATTGCAAAAACTCACAAGCGATATACATCCATCCTACAATTCCATTTTGGGATAAGCAAAGTTATGCGGAGGGCAAAAAAGTCAGAAAAGACTTGGTGCTAAGAAAAGAAACATAAGAAAAGAAACATAAGTAAAACTAATTACAATAATGCTTGTCCATTTCTTTTAAGAGTATGTGTTGGGGGAGATTGCAACAGTCAAGATGGCCACAACTATACAACTGTATTCTCTTTAATGTGCTTGGCATGCACATAGAGTAGCAATAGCAATAGCTCTTAGACTTATATACCACTGCATAGTCCTTTACAGCATTCTTTGAGTGGTTTACAACGTCAGCATATTGCCCCCAACAATCTGGGTCCTCATTTTACCAACCTTGGAAGGATGGAATGCTGAGTCAATCTTGAGCCGGTCAGGATCGAACTACTGGCAGTGGAATGCAGAGTTAGCCTTAATAGAATAGAATTCTTTATTGGCCAAGTGTGATTGGACACACAAGGAATTTGTCTTTGGGGTATATGCTCTCAGTGTACATAAGGAGAATAAAATACATTCATCAAGAATAAAAAGATGCAACACTTAGTGAGAGTCAAGGTTACTAATAAACTATCAAATCGTACTAGGAAACAAAAACAATATAAATTGAGAGATACAAGTGACATGGTTATAGTAATAAGTGGGAAGAGAGATACTAGTAAGGAAGAGAAGAATAATAGTAATACAGTCTTTGTAAATAGTTTGACAGTGTTGTGGGAATTAGTTGTTTAGCAGAGTGATGGCATTCGGGAAAAAACAGTTCTTGTGTCTAGTTGTTCTGGTGTGCAGTGCCCTATAGTGTTGTTTTGAGGGTAGAAGTTGAAATAATTTATGTCCAGGATGTGAGGGGTCTGTAGATATTTTCGCAGCCCTCTTTTTGACTCGTGCAGTATAAGGTCCTCAATGGAAGGCAATACTGCATTCTAACCACTGTGCCACACGGCTCAGAAAAAGGGGACGGAACTTTTAATTGCACAATCATTGCCGCCATCTTGACTTTTTTTTTTACTATGTTTGCAGATGTTCTTGGCTCTTTAGACTGTTGTTTCTTCCCTGCCCATTTGCAGCTTCGGCCATCAAAGATCTTTATGGGAAAGCTTGCATTCTTGCCCCCCAAAGAGTCACCCATCCTTAAAATGTCTGGAATCCTCTTCTTTACTTTTGTGATTTGTGGAAGTGGGAGAGGCATTGAATTTCACTCAAGCACTGAATAAGGCTTAAAAACTGCCCAGAGAAATAAATAACCAGTCTCGAGGCTGTTCCTTTAAAAGGGAGACGGGAATCAGCACTGAAAGACTGAAGTCAAGGGATAGCTGTTATAATGGCCCCAGAAATTCACTTTTAAAACAGTTATATATGGCCTCTTTCCAGGATTAAGGAGATATATGGAGGCCTGTAATTTATAGAGTCAAAAGGTGTGGGCTTCCACCTGCCACATCTTGTTAGAATTTCTTCCTGTCATATTTGTATCTAAGCTAAAATTACAATTTCTGAAGAAGCAGAACGTGGAGGTGATAGAATGATAGGCAGCATTTCTCCTGCCCTACTTTCTCCCATTAAGCCGCATTACTAAATACAGTGTGACGGTGGACAAAAACCCATTGAATGTCATTTTCTGCGTAACAATCGAGGAATTCAGCAGTGCTGTAGAGAGGCCAGCCTTTTTCTCTCCAAATTCTTCTGAAATTTGAGCAGAGAGAAGCAAATCAAGTAACTTGGAGTTTGATATCAGCACGAATCCTCCACTTGTACATAATGTTCATACTGAACTACTAGGAAATGTCTTTATTGCATGTTTAAGAATAAGACAAGAAAGAAATAGAAGAACAGGACAAACCAGTTACAAGATGGATGGACTTCATTACAGCAGTGATGGGTGCACCACTGGAAGACCTGAAGAGTTAGGCTGGGAACAGATCATCCTGGAGAAGACACACCAGTGTGGTTGCTAAGAGTCATCACCAATCTGATGGCACATAATTCTCAATCAAAGGAACAAGATATCGTTATTAATGCATTTTAATGCCTACTTGATTCCATATGAACTCAAAGTTCCTTACTTCAATCTCTTGGGAATTTGTACCAAATTGGAAAAGAAACCCATTCCCTCCCTTTAATTAACTCCCTTTAATTTCCTCAGGGAAAGTAACACTACTTTTCTGGCTTCTAGCTACAGATGAGAAATTAGAACAGCCACAAAATGGAAATGCTCTCACTGCAGTGTCTCCTCAGTTCTTTTTTTTTTTTTTTAATGATCTTGTTATGTATTGAATACATACAGTTGTGTTAAGCACTTCTTCTTGTGCCATGTTGGTCATCAGACGTTGGCGATCATGTTGGTAATCCTATTTTTGACAACAGCCGTATGAAAAAGTGCTGCTGAGTTTTGTCCAAACCAGTCCCTTAGGTTTTGAAGCCATGATGTTCTTCTTCCGCCTGGGCCTCGTTTGCCTTCAATTTTTCCCTGGAGGATTAAGTGAAGGATGCTGTATTTTTCTGGGTGTCACATCACATGTCCAAAATATTCTAACTTTAGCTTTTTAATGGCTTTGATTATTTCCCTTTACTTTCCCAGGCGGCTTATCACCTCCTCATTTGTGATTTTGTTAACCCAGGTTATATGTAACAGCTGTCAGTAAATCCACATTTCAAATGCTTCTAGTTTCTTCAAGTGGTTTTCTGTCAGAGACCAACTCCGTAGAGCAGGATAGAAAAGATGTAACATCATGGTCACTCATGCCCTCGTCACTTCCCGCCTGGACTACTGCAATGCTCTCTACATGGGGCTCCTCTTGAGGAGCACCCGGAGGCTCCAACTGGCGCAGAGTGCGGCCGCGCGGGTGGTTATGGGAGCGACATGGCGTTCCCATATAACACCTCTCCTGCGCGAGCTGCACTGGCTCCCGGTGGTCTTCCGTGTGCGCTTCAAGGTCTTGGTTACCACCTTTAGAGCGTTCCATGGCTTAGGACCTAGTTATCTACGAGA